ACTTTGCACCTCATACCATGTCGGTGAAGAGATCTTGGGTGATAACGACTGAAGTAGTGTGTTGTCCGGTGCCCGTGTGCAGCCATCTGGATGCCACCGTATATCATACGACATCTTTCTCTACCCAAGTTTAAGTCCTTCTTGGCTAGCGTGCTGCACAGTTCCTTACCAAACTTAGCACATGTTCACATTTTGATCCTGTTTAAATAGAACTGAATAAATTCTGGTTTAGAGCAGCCTTTCTCAACCTGTGGGTTGTGACCCAAAAGCGGGTCCCAAGAATATATGGGAGGGTTGTGAACAAACTTGAAAAATGGATCAACAGACTTTTAAAAAATGGATTCTCCTTTAAAGAAGGAAAAGGTGGGAAACTGTTGCTTTTCTCTTTCAGGCCGTCAGAGTTGCAGCCTGCAAGGGGCTGCTTGGGGTCCCCCGTGCCCCACACACTTGGGGGCAGCAGGACGGGAGTGAGGGGTGGCACTGGGTTGGGACTGGCCATCGATGTTTGTGAGCGGGTCCTGGTACAAAAAGGGTTTGCAGCCACTGGTTTAGAGTATGACTTGACTCGTTAGAGTATTGTACTTAAACGTGTTAGATTTGTGTAGTGAAGACAGGACCCACGTTGGAAGTGAGCGGGGATTTTGGAGTGTGTTTTGTTCTGGCTTTTTTTGCTTGTCTTAGGAGCCTTTTACAACCTGTTTTTTTTCCATTGAATTTAAAGATAAAGCTTTAACGCAGCTGTAGCTTCCTGGTTGGACTGAACGTTTCTCCTTGTTCCTAGAGTAAGTGTGCACGTACCGCGTGTGTGGTGTTTTAATAGCAGGCTGCAATAAAAGCACCAATTTAGTTTCAGCTTTTTTGTTGTGTTTTGCTTTGAGAAGGGTTGAAAATACTCTTGGAAATGCTTGTTAATATGGGCGAGTACTTTGTGATTCATGACGTATGTTTTAAAGGTTAGGGAGGAATGCAGATCATTTACAGATGTGTGGACTAATTGCATTGCGTCAAGCTGTTCCTAGTCTTTTTAGGGGGGAAAAAAAAATGCATTTTTGGTTTTATGCTGTTTACAAATTCTGTCAGCGCTGATGCATTTCGGATTTCCCTAGATCTGACATGGCTGGGGCTGGAGTACACATTGCCCATGATACTGTTTTTGTGGCGAATGTTATAGTAATTAGTTCCAGAGGAAGCTGTTGACAGTGATTCCTGGGTAAAGGCTCCTGGTTGCTTAAGAGCGCTCAGATTGCATAAGGTTGTTTTTTAGTTCGTGAGGCTTATTTGAGCTTCCAAAGTCTGTTTACTATCAAATGCAGGCAAAAGGGTCGTCCGAGTTGAGACGCCAGAGCACTTTGTAGTTCAAAAGGTGCAAACGTTGGCCCTTTTTTCTAAGCCTTCCAACAGCAGTGCCTAAAATGAGACCCGAGTCCATATTTCTTTAAAAAAGGAAATAACCGGTCTGATTTCACCACGGCCGAGGCTTGAAAACAATTCTGTTGAAGATTCATAGATGTAAGATGTGGGCGTGCAGCATGCCTCTGAAAATGGGTCGTTATTTCGGTGGCCTAGATGTAGAACTGATGCTGGATTTCAAGCAGCCCAGTTGCACAACCCTGCTTTAGGTGTATAAAGTTGGCAAGTATAAAGCATAGGCCCATGTGGAACATAGGCATTTGTTTCATGATGGATTTGGAAATCTCTTGCTTTGTAGACTAAGGAGCAACCCCCCAAAAAGAACTTATAAGTGATCAATAAAAGAGAGCCTTCTCTTGGCTTTTTCCTCTCTCTGCTTTGTACAATACAAAAATAAGGTTTTGAAATGAGCCATTTTAAAACGAAGAACTAAAAGACTTCGTTCAGAAAAATGTTGATGTTGGGACTTCTAACGTTAATGAAACTTCCCTTTTTTTGGTCTCCAGAACAGTTTTTTGGGGGGTGAGATCAGCATAATTTTGTGAAATGCTTTCATTTAGCTGGAACTGTGTTCTCTGATGACAAGAGGCCCGTCCAAGTGTTTCCAGTGCACTCTAGTGAAATTCCCTCTCTGGAATTTAGATGCTCCTCGGAAATGGAGTATATACTCCAATGGCATATCTTGTGGCTGTGCTGTTGCCAGAAAATGTTATTTGAACATTTTGAATAGCATTTAAAATGCTTTTGATGCCAGAAATCTCTTGTAAAAGTTTCCGTTGGCTTCTGGTTCAGGTCTGCTTCTTTTTAATGTGAGCCGGGAACATTAAGATGACTTGCTCTTGCTTTATGTGCATCAGTCACATCTCTGAGCCACAGTTGTTTTGACTTGGAGGGTCTTAATCTCTCCTTCTTCCCTAAAATTTCATGGCTCTCTTTGTTTTTTTCAGGGTGTGTGCAACTCCACGTTGAAAAGATGTTGCTCAGTGTAAATCAGCATTTAAAGTGAGAAAAAGGGGCAAAGAATTATAACTTGGTGTTGGTTCATTCTGCGCTAGTAAGCGTGGTAGATCTGCCAGCTCAAACCCAGCCTTTTCTTTCTTTAGTGGCCCAAGGCTCAGGACTTTTCATGTTATGCGAGTCTTAAGTGTCAATGGTGTTTCAGCCTATTTGGCCCCATGGAAAGTAATGGAAGAGAGAGATTATAGCTACAGTCTGCATCTTGGTACAAGTAGGAGATAACTAGCTGGTGGTCTCTCTTAAAGCATACATATAAGATGAACTAACGTTACTGTTGTCTGGATGACAGTTGACATTTGGTAGGGTGGGTGTCTTCTCAAGGAAAATGAGCTTTGCCTTGATGAGAGTAACAATTAACCCAAGTAGTAATCAATACGTCCACTTTTCTGGGAATGGGAAGGCATTCGTTTGTAGTTCTAGCACTGCTTAGTTACTGCTAGTTACCAGCAGTCCAGACTTCCCGTGTGAGCCTGCCGTGCATCAGCGTGTCACGATGATGATAATTAGTTGCCTAGTCTAATATCTCAATACGTAATTTGAGGAAATGATTTCATTTAGCTGTAACTGCATTTTCTGACAAGAGGTCATCAATTAAAATATCCGCGCTCAATTTAAATATCAGGCTCCTTTGAAGATGGTTTTAAAATGTAGTTTTGACTTACCTTATATTGTCTTGGTTAACATCAGTTTAAGCCATCATGTTCCTATTGCAGATTCACGTGCAGTTTTCTTTTTAGTAAGCACTGGAACAGGCTACGCAAAGAGGTGGTGGACTCTCCATCCTTGGAGGTTTTGAAGACCCAGGTAGACAAAGCTTTGGCAGGGATGATGTAGTTGGGGTTGGTCCTGCTTTGAACAGGGGGTTGGACTAGATGTGACCTCCTGAGATCCCTTCCAGTAGGCCTGTGTAAATAGGGAAGTATTTAATTCAGGTTTGGCCAATTCGGATGCCAGTGATTTGATCTGGCGATTCGCATAACTGTCCCCATTCAATTTGGCCGACTCGGAATTGGAGATTCGGTGCTGATTTATATTGGCTGTGCCTGCCTCTCCCTGGGTGGGGGGAGCCACAGGAGAAGTCCCCATGGCTGCCCTGCTGGGCCTCACCCCCTGCAATCACTAGCTCTGGCAGTGGCGAGTGGGGGCTTGTGACAGAGCCCCTCCCCATGCAGTAGGGGGCAGTGGGGATGACCCCCGTCACTTAGCACCCATGCGGCAGCTGTCACATTGTGTGGGTACAGCATGGCCTGGCAGGACACCGCGCGCTATCTGGGAGCTGGGGCGACTCCAGCAGTCATCCGGAGCCTGGCACCGCTTAGCCCCAGTGGCCCCAGCTCCTAGACAGTGTGTGGCGCCCTGCTGAA